AAATCGTAGAACGCTCTGTGGGAAGCAACTGCCAAAAGGCCCTTTCCTTATCAGTTGCATTGGAGTTATTTCATTTTTGTTCGGAAGGAATTTTTTAGTCAACATCTATCATTTTGGTAATTGAAAGTCGAAAACGCAATGACTTGTAAGGTGTAAATTGTCCACGGATTTACCTAATATTGGTACTCAAGCTTTCAACCCGAAAAAGTTTCCGAAGTGTTTATTCTAATCATAGACAAAGGTTCACCAGAACATCGTTCGATTAGGTTTCCTTAGTGACGGTGGGGTAATTCTTTGTAACAATTCCCCAAAATTTACCAACTACTATACATAGGAGAAAATGGGAAGCAGGGAAGAGGTTATGGCTAGCTTCCTAACGAAGCAAAAAGAAATGAATAACAGGAAGATCAGCAAGACCACAACAGCCAGCTCCGCCGGAATAAGTCACAGAGGCCCCAGGTCTCCGGTAAACAAGACAAAGATCAGTATAAACGCTGATACTTACTAAACCAGATTCAATTAATAATGAAAATGGCATGAAACTTGCAAAGAAAAAAGTTCAGTTTTAGTGGAAACTTTTCTCAGTGGCTGAAAGAAAATGGCTTGAATAGGGATCGAATCATGTTAAAATATTCCCTTAAAAATTTTCCAACAGCCCCTATTTCCTTTTGTTTGGTTGCGTTTTCTGTTAGGTTGAAACCATTAAAAACTGACTGACCCGCGAAGAAACTGAACATATAGCTTTACACTCGGTGAAGTGATATCCCGAGGGGTATAACTAAAATTTATGTGACAGCTAAGATCCGTTCATTAACTAGTTTTCAGTCCCCCTGCAGCTTGCGTTTAAGGAACTCCTTCCGACTGTTCGATTTGTTGTGGTGGACGCTGATTGATTTCGTCCAGATGGCCTCAGATAGTAAACAACCTGTTGTCTCTACAGCCTGGTTGAATGATCAGCTGAGAAAAAAGCGAGATGACTTTGCAATTTTGGACGTGACGTGGTTCAGCGACAAGAATACTATCCACCATTTCTCAAAGTAAGACTTGAGACCTGCGTTACAGAGTTATTTTGATCAACTGCAGTGTATTCGGTCAACATTAGTAACAAAACTCCCCAAAATTCTATTTTTACGTCCTGGTCGATTCTAGATCTCAATAAAAACGGCGAAAAAGAAGCAGATTTGGCAAAAATACAGCAAGTGAAGGAAACCGAAAGAATCAAATATTCCACAAGTCTAGTTAGCCCCCATATGGAGACTGAGGAGCGAGGGGGCGGGGTCGCTTTGAACCAGGGCTTGTTGACATCAAATTGCCAAGGTTTTACTTGAGCATTGCTAGATGAGATAGATTTGGAGATCAATTAGTCGTTTGTATATTTATTTACTTTGTATTTTTATACCCTCATGATTTATATTTAAGTTCACATGGCAACCAGGTGGACAATCAGACATGGTTTGATGCTACTCTGATTTAAAGATTTAATGATTGTAATGGAAAGGTTACAATTCATAGACCCAACGTTTCGACACTCCTGTCCAGTGCCTTCAATAATCACTTCATCATGATTATTCATTTCTCATTTTATCTCTTATTTTAGTTTTTTCCCCTTGTTGTGCTATCCCCTTGTGCCCTTCTATATATAAATCTGAAGAAAGATTTAATGTTCCCAAAATTGTGACTGAGTGGTTTGATTTCCTTAGGAAACATTTAATGCATGCTTCACAAATGGACATCTTCTATGGAGTGGAAAATACTTCTTTGTACCCTCGAAATATTCCTGATGCACCAACCTTCCAGATGAATGCAAGAGGTAGTGCAGTGAATAATGACAATCATGTTGTTATTTATGAAAAAACAGGGAAGTTTGGGTTTTTTACAGGTGCAAGAGCTTGGTGGCTGTTTAAGGTGAGAATGCTCTTAGGCTCATCCCTTTAATCCTTTTACTACTATGATTTCATTAGAAATTCTCCTTACTTTCTGCTCTAAAATAATGACAATATTACTTTGGAGCAGTTGTTATTGGATCAACTTTAAGTTCCTTAAATTTGTATAATTCTCATTTCTTTCCTGATTGATTTGTAATGATATTGTATGGAGAAATTCTGTCCTGATCACTCCTGGGAGTTAATGGGTTAATCTGGATCTCTAGCAAATCTACAATTCTAGTAGCTTAAAATTATTCCCCATTGATATCAAGCAACAGCAAACTCTACGACATAATTATTTTTACTTACATCATAAAAAATAAAACGATGCTAAGGCCATGTTACGGTAGGTTAACATTTCATTATTTAACTTTCTAACTTGATTGCTATTAAGTTTGATAACACTTGGCACCTAGTAATAATGATGTTGGTTTGATAACATTTATCAATCCTTGGACAACAGCATTCTGTTGAATTTTGTATAACCAAATTAGCCCTACTATTTGGTTGTTTGATGAAGCTTGTAATTAATGCATTTTAAACTGTTCTGACTGATAATAAATCAGCATTAACCCTTTGTCAAAATTTTTATAATGATTTATTCAATGAATTAAATTTCCACAGCTGTTTGGGCATGAAAATGTATCAGTTCTTGATGGAGGTTTGGAAAAGTGGATTGCCGATGGATATGAAACAACAAATATCATGTTCAAAAAAAAGGTAACAATTACTTTTTAAGCTCTTTACCTAACCACCATTAAAAAGAGGTTTCTGGCAGTTTTTTCATCTGCCTCGAGGACCAACAGAATGGAACCATAATCCAATCTAGGCAGACTTAACAATACTTGAGTTCAAACAGGTGATTCAACACAAATAATGAATGACCCTTTTTACCATATAGGAGGGTGACTTTACAGCAAAGTTGACTCCGAGATGGCTTAAAAGGTTTGAAGACATGAAAGAAAACCTTACTTTGCAGAAAGCCCAAGTTTGTGACAGTCGAGATCCTAGCTTATTTACAAGATCAGCTTATGGTATTGTATTTATCAGAATTATTTTGATTCAAATTTCTGCTTCAAATGCTGCTTGAACCTATTTAGGGATAAACCCCCCCACACTTTTGATGGGGAAATTTAGAATTGATTTTTTAATGTAAATGCCAGAGGGATTTTCTTTTTTTTTTTTTTTTTTGTAGATCCCAAGACTGGCCATTATCCTGGTGCCGTGAATATTCCTTTCCCTAAGCTATTTGATCCTGATACTAAGAGTCTTAAAAAACTGGATGATTTGAAGAAAGGTATGATGATATTAAAAAATATTACAAGTGCACATAGGTTTGTTGACAACCATCACTTCTTTTACATGTTTTTTTTTTCAAATTTTATTTTAAATTATTAGAATGAATACCATAAACAAATTAACACAGCACTTAAGTTAATTAATCCTTTAACTCCCATGAGTGACCAAGACAGAATTTCTCCTTACAATATTAGGACAATATCAAGCAGACAGATGATGAGAATCAAGAAAAATTTTAATTTGGGGATTATTGGTTGATCCAATACCAAATTCTCAAAACTAACATTACAAAAAAACTATATGACAGACAGTAAGGAGAATTACTAATGAGGTTTAATATTTCTTAAATAATTTAATTGTGTATAAAGAGTTTTGTGTCACCTATCATACTTCTGTAGAAATTGTCAGTAATTGTTTTTCTTTACATCCCTATTATTTTGATTCATTGTTTATTCCAATTTGTGGAATAAAACAACAATGATTAAATTAAATGTTACAATATTAAAACTTCAATAGACCAGATTAAGATGAATTGATAGCTTTCAGAATATCAGACATATCTTTCATACTGTTGATAGTATTTCAAAATAATGAACAAAGAGTTTAAAAAACTGGATCATCCTGTCAGCAAATTAGATGTATCAAATAGATATAACTCGTAACCTTTTTTTGGAAATTATTTTCTTTCTTTACAGTTTATACAGATGCGGGAATTGACCTCAGCAAACCATTGATAGGAATGTGCAATAGTGGCATGTCATCATGCTCTTTGGTACTTGCTGCCCATCTTTGTGGATGTCCTGATGTGGCAGTCTACCATGTAAGAGATTTAAAGTTCAATTTGTGCACCATAAGTTTAAGGTTTAGGTGTGAAAGTCACTAGTCCCAAGGTTAGGGGACTTAGGAAGTGTTACACATTTAAGTTTTTATCTGTGAATCCCCAACCCACTGTGGACCAAATCTTACTATTTTATGTATGGAGCATTTCTGACAGAAAGGTTTACTAGTCTTTGAATATCTTCCACTTGGTACCTTGGTCACAATTTAACTTACACAATAAGAATGTGAAATCAATGGGTGATGTTTACCAAATACATTACTGAAGAATATCAAAAGTGCTTGTAAACATTTAAATAACAGATTTCCTACCCTTTTACAAAGTTACTTCAACTGGTGACATCCCCACTCCTTTTTCTTGCATAATGCTCCAAAATGGCATCCCTGTTGCGCCATCATTTGAGAGTACTTCCAACCACAAGCAGAATAAATTGTGTTTTTCACTGGAATGCATAATTTAATTTTTTTCATTGGTTTCTTTGGTGTAAAGATTGAAGTACAACTTCATTCAATACTCAGCCAATCCAATGATGCTTTATTCTCCAATCTGTATGTTTCACATATTGTTTATGTCTGTTTTTTTGCCTCTATAGGGGGGATTCAAAGAATGGAAAAAAAGAGCTGACCCAAGTGAAATTGAGTGAAGTTGAAACTGTGTGTGTAACTCAGTAACCAACCAGGTCATAACAGTGTATGCAGAGTAGATGGACTTCCAGGCTCTGGATTCCATAATTTGCACATGTTAAAAAAAATTAGGGAAAATTATTTAAGAACACCCCAGCGGGCAGTGATTGGAGAAACACAGATGCATAATAAGATAGCTTGACCATTTATAATGTAATTGTCATGTAAAATTTACATAAAGTTATTAATAAAGCACAAAAACAATCTAGAATTGTGTAATTTTTATTCAAAAAGAATTCTTTAAAAACTGATCATGAGATAACAGTAATGTGTACGTGTACAGTAATGTGTAATGTGTACAGTTGTTGTAAAACAGTACATTTTTCAAAATATATTTCTTTCAGTCTCACAATTTAGCCCAAAATGACAGCATCTGATTCCTAGATCATAAACTGATGGCTAATAATGTAATATAAATGTTTCACAAAGATCTGTGGTATCACATATAAAACTAACAATGGCTACGAAAGCTGGTATTTGAGCTTAGAGCTCCAAGTAAAATTTAAATCTGAGTTTATTGTTCCAAATAATGAGATGTCCACAGTCATTTAAAGCTGGAATAATTACTGCCCAGCAGTTTCAGTTCACATGCTACCCTGGCATGCTGAAATAGTAATTCCAATAAGATTCTATAAAATTGCTTGAAACTAGTTCATAAAGATATAACTTAAACTTTTAGGTGGTACAGTGTTTTAAAAATGTTTTCCAGAAAGTCATTCCTAAGTGTTCCCTAACATTTCAATAAATGATAAATAAATAACCATGATATTGTGAATACAAAAAAAATTCTACATAGTGTCATTTGTGGGCTTTTTACCTATTTGTTCAAAACATTATTAAGACCATTGCTTATCTACAAGCAACACTAATAATGTTGAATAATAATACAAGTTCCTCCATAGTGGATACAATTATTAATGCTTTAATAACAAAGCTACCAAAACCTATCAGAGGGAACATGAACTCATGTCTCTCTCTCTACAACAACTAATGTATATCAAGTCAATGATAAAATAGAACATTATGATATGTCACTTAAACCTGGGCTCCATCAAGGCCCTTTTTTTTCTCTTAACACAGGTTTTTTTCCTGAAGGTTGCAATTAACAACTTTTTTAACTTTTTCTTTAACAATAAATAGGTCCAGAAAGGATTTTGTTGTTTTTGTTTTTATGTGATTTCCACGAATTTGACAATTTAACTTAACAAAGTGCTTTGTTTATTGGTAAATCAGGGGTACACTTGTGCCCTTTGTTTTTTTTCTTATGTTCTTAACATTACATAGGGTAATACAATTTTTTTATTGCAGTTTCTTTTTTCTTCTATGTAACTTTTTCCTCTGTTATGGCATGTACCTGTCTTGAACGGTTCACTACTGGTATGGCAGGCACACTGTACAGCTGATGCCTATATGTCAACTTTTTTTTTGACGTTTTCTGTGTCTCATTACTCCTCTCTCTCCATTTATGTAATCTTAAGTAAAGGAGCTGGTGAATGACGTGCAAACTGCAGCAGAGTGGAAACTGACTCCACATCACTTGAGAGGTTCTACAAAAAAGGAAACAAAAGGAAACTATCAATATTATATTTTGGGTTAATAAATGAGAGGAAGATGTAAATCCTTCCAGAGGTAAAAAATGTATTTATTTAGAGTTATATAAAAAATTCCATTTAATTAAAAAATTAATTCATGGAGCATTTTATACCTTGACAAGAACACAGTGTAGTGGCTCTCTTAACATCATGTGATGTTTTGTCATTTCAGACAGCTTGCAGCTGTTGTTCACCTGGTAACAGAGAGAAAAAAAGACCTCATTAATCATTAATCAAGGGTGACATGATATAAAACTCTGCTAATTTTTAATCCAAAAAAAATGCAAATTGTTCATGATTGCTCACCTTTATAACAGGGATTGCACATTCCCAGCAATATGCCTCAATTAGTCGGCAATGAACCTGGATTCCAGCATCTGCTCTTGGGTTTTCTACCAACACACACAATCCTATTGTATCTAGGTCACTACAATAACAAGAAATAAAAATATGTTTGTAAGACCTTAAGTGTAGATCCTCAGTTTTGTTCCTTCTGTTAAGTCACAGAGATAAAGAGGGTCTTTGTGGGGGAAGATGACCAAGGCAGAGCTAAAACATGACTGAAATGAGGGGGCCAATTAAATTATTAAAAATAACCTCTTCTGCTTGACAAGGAGTGAGGATGTCATGTATAACCTATGACCTGACCTTACACATGCCCTTGTAAGCTGTATTTGTTGTAAGAGTGAGTGATATATGCTTTGAAAATCTTAGAAAAAATGGAGCTCAACTTTCCTCCTTTTTTGTTTGCAATATTTGTTGATATTTTCAATCCTTTGTTAACCTCATTCCTCAATAGCTTATATATTACCCTTTTTCTGCCTTCTGTCTTACTTCCCAAATTAATATTCAGAGTTTTTTTTAACAAATCCAAGGTAACTTTTGTACATTTCCAAGTGGTTTAAAATATTTTGATGGAGCCCCAAACTATACCCTGACTCATAATCTCAAAAACATGTAGGAAATACAAATATATATATGTAACTTACACGGCAAGTTCATTAGCAGCATCGTGCACTCCACACACCAAATGGCCATTGATTTGTGCTTGATTTAAAACTTCTTGCAAGGCCCAACGTATTTTCAGTCTATGAACCATATCCCTGAAAAAAATAAAATATCGAACGATAGCGATTATTATTAAGTTATTTGATCTGATGAAACAATTCGGAAAAATGATTCAGCAACACATTGTTTATAAAATGCATAATTATCCGCCTGTCCTCCTAACTACGAAAAACAATTTAAAGGCAAGCTTAGAGGAAACAAAAACACTGAAGGAATGCTGTACTGTAGCAAGAATTGTTTTTGATGCAAAATTAATTTTAGAACAAGACCTATATGATTAAGTCGGTCTGATTTCAACTGGACTGTCTCGTGACCTCAGTAATTATAGATGCAAAACGAAATCGAAATTCAATAAACACGTCATCTGCTCGTATGTTGTAGTTTTCAAATCATTTCGTGTAGATTTAAAATCCTGGAATTTTCCCGTTTCTTGGCTTAACTTCATCTAGTACTAAAAAAAATAGACAAAAAAATAATAGAAGCCCGAATTTTCTACGAATAAAGCCAAAAATCGATGACCACTAACGTTTGAAAGATGTAAGCCACGTTCTGTAACGTTTCAGAGGCGTTGAAGCTAAGTGGAAACTCGTGACCAACAGTTCGTAATGTATTATGAAATGATCTTGCAGAAACACCACATGAATTCGATTCAGCTATGAAAGAAGCAATTTTGAGTGGATACGCCTTGCTCTGCCCTTTTTCTTAGAATAATTTGACTTTGTACCAGTACAAGTTCGACCGTGCGTTCTGTGTGAGTCACGAGTTAACATCGAACACTAAAACATAAGTCCTCGAATATTACAATCCTCATGTATAAACTTGTGAATAAAGTCACATTTGCAAGCTCTATGCGTTAAAATTTAAGCAGAATCTAGTTGAAAAGATTCATTTAACAGATTAACAACCGTGCAAATAAGAATTTCTGCGAAGATCGTAATTCCCGGGAAACATACCCTCGCCGGCTTCCAAGTGCTATTACATCACCCGAGTGATTAAAATAAGAGTTTCATCGAACTTACCCCATATTTTCTCTACAGAATTCGTCTGTCTCGCTCTCAATAGTTTCTTGAGTCATTCCTGATCTTCAGTAGTCGAATCAAATAAGAAAATATCTAACCCCAAGTAGACGTGTCACCCTCACGGATTGAACTCAACAACTCCAGAGGCAAATAGCTGACCAGCAAAATTTATAACACATATCACGTGTCTAACGACCCGGATACGACAAAGAACTATTGACAGGGGGAGGGAAAAGGTATTTTTCTAATAAACGCTCATATTCGAGGCAAAGAAATCAAGAATGTTTTGTCGTTTAAACTGAATGGAATTGAAAGCAATCTATTAATATATAATTGCTTTAAATTGAGTGGGAAGCGATCGATGTGTTTCCTGCCATCACATAGCAAAACAAACGGCATACCCCTTCCCAGAATTGAAATTGTTGTTCACCATTCCAAGCGGAAAATTCTTGGTATAACACCGGAAAACAAATTACGTCAAACGACAGCCCAAACAAACAATATGTTAATTTTTGGGGCAAGCCCGTTCTGGAACTAATTCATACAACGTTTTTTTCCTTGAAAGACAAACAAAGTCGTATTCTTAGCGTTTTCGCTGAAAAAAAATCTACTCTCCCCTTCGTTCGACACTTAAGTTTTTCTAAATCACTTCATCAAAATTATAGCAGTTTTATTCACTTTCTATTTATTTTTTATTCGAGTGCTCGGAAGTCAACGACCTCCTGCATTCTTTTAAAGCTCTAGAAACCGCTTTGAAAGTCGCTGAAATGCGAAATCTTTTTTACCTGCTTCTGAATTGTCCAAAAAAAGATCGTAAAACTAAATAGAACATCCAGAGGCAAATAAGAAAGCGGAAGCAAAGAGACATGCACACGTTTTTGTTTTTTTTTTGTTTTGTTTTATTTTGAGGTCCAAAAGTAATTCAGCGCACAGGAAAGACGGAAAAATCTGAAAAGTGCAAAATGCATTTGATTTTCCTGTTATCGAAAAAAGGCAAGTCAAAGACTGAAAAAGAAAATTCCAAACATCTCATGACATTCAACCCTAACAACTTGTAAAAAGTTACTGGAAATATATTGTTCAATATATATGTTTTAAATTTAAAGGTGGGAAGTAAAAAGTGTATCAGCACGTGTTATTATAAATCAGCACGTTTTATTAGCTGTGCAAGGTGCATCTTCCGCTCGCGGTTGGCCATCTCTCAGTCTGGAATTAAAAAGAGGATTCCTAGCATTTTTTATTATTTTTTAACCTGCTATTTATTGAAGTTCTTTTCTCAACCAAGACGACAATCAAAACGATAATACTTCAACATAAGGACCTTGTTCAGTGTCGCCCGGACAGGAAGTTTTTATTTTCATAACCTTTCAAACAGACTGTCATAATCAAAAATGGGACAGACACAATACTACGTGAAATCGAGTTGGGTGGGAAAACCGCACAGTTAATGAAGGTTTGCTTGAACCGAACAGGCACGAGTCAAAATCTTGAAGGAAGACTTTAACACGTATGGTGACGAGGATTTTGAACTTTCCTTTATTAGAAGAGAACATAGTTTATCCACAATTAATTCGGCCTCACACTGGTGCGAGGATTATACTGAAATGAAAAACCCTCTTCTCGTTGTGGAGTTAAAGTCGCCATGAAGCGTGAAAAATAGAGTATTAGCCTGCCTGGGAGGGGGCGGATACGCAAATGCTTAACAAAAACAATTTTGTTCCGGTCAATATTCTGCATAAGAAGTCGTGTATGCCCGGCTTATTGCTTCCGGCTCTAAAGATATACAACAAGCTGAACTGCTGCTTGAGAGTTAAGACGGCGCTTTCACGCTGAAATCGCAACAGACGTTTTCCACTCACGCTGCAAACCAGATAACTTTTTTAAGTATATTGATTGGCGGTGGCCAAAAATCTTGAATGAACATGCGCGTCAAAGGATCCAATTATCCCGCCCAAATTCAAAGAGTAGTTACGTCAGCATTTTGAAAAGTTCAGCCCAGTTTCCCGTTTACTGATTCCGTTTACAATATTAGATTAACCCTATTTTTTCTATCATCGTTACTGTTCGTGGACTGAAAGCTTTTCTTCGTGTCATTCTTAACTCTTAACAGTTTTTTTAGTTTGAATACAGTACTCAGTTTCACACGCTTTGTTTTGCCTCACCCATTACACCGATTCTGAACTCGTAATTTGTAGATATCAATCTTACTTAGGTCATATGTCTAACACCGTTGCATTGATTTTACTTAAAGCCATGTCCGTTTTCTGTTAGATTCGTGTATTACTATAAATCATCATATCTCTTAGCTTCTTGCGGATCTAGTTGTTAAAAAGTAATGATATTTTTGGCTTAATGTCAATAAGTTCCCACTTTCCTAAGAATCTTCGCGGGAAATGGGCGCTAGGGCTAATTTGTTTTAGATCGACAATATCAACATTCTTATCGCGTTTTCTCTCTAAGTAATAAATAGATAAATGTACTTTCATTATCACAAAAATAAGTACGGGTATCTAAGTCTGGCTCATTCGTACGTGAGTTGGTTTTCAGATGTAAATTATTAATGAATAATTTTAGCTCCCGCACTGTAGTTTGGAAAGCCATGATAATTAATAGCGACGTTATATAACGTCTCTGAAATATTTGTATATACATGTTATGTAACATTAACAAAAGCTATTTAGAGGAATAGTCAAAAGAAGATAGCCCATGAAGAAGTCAGTGGAATAAATTTGCTTATAGATTGGCTTCCCAAGGCAGAGAGCTTTTCTTTGTTTTATTGTCTTCTTTATGTCATCAAAACAAAAATAATATTCACCCCGGGAGCACTGCACAAACGTGACAACATATACACAAGTCCGAACACTCAAGGAAGTTTATACCACGTACAGTAGTTTTCATTCATGCCTTGCTACCGGAGTTGAAGATACGAAAAAAACGTGACAACATGATACGGAAGTACTGTAAAAACACAAAACAAAACTTGACAGTCGAACAGGACTGAAACCGAAAAAGTTTTTATTTAGTATGCAAAGACACGTTTCTTGAAAAACAGTACGTGTATATTCGATTTTAAAAAAGATCGGTCGGAAGATACATTTTCCCTCTCACAAAACAATCACACATTACGCGGCTGATACTTTTTCTGGAAACGATTGTCGTTAATTGGTCACGCAACTATGTCACGCAATCTTTACTCGTTTTGTTTTTCTAACTCACTTCTTGCACCGCGTTTTTCCCTCAATCCAGTCAAACTGATCAATCATTCTTTTTTCCACGTTTTTCTTCTACTCTTTTCTCTTTGTGTTTATTTCGTTCATATTTTTCCCATCTGTGTGATCTCGAGTCATGAGAGTCACTTTCAGTGTTACTTTTATAATATCTGTCTTTTTCAAGTTTCCCTTTTCTTCGAGTTTTTGACCTGTGTTTGTGATGCACTTTTTTATTCTGTTCTCTCATCTCTTCACTTAAACTTTTCCCGGAATTTTCTTCATCTGATGGCCTTTTTCTCTTCTTTTTACGATCTTTTTGCTGTTTTCTTCTCAAACTATGTTCATTGCTTCTAGCCTTACTAGTCCTTTGCCGTTTTCTTTGCAGTTCATCACTATTCTCACTTTCTTTATTTGATACATCTGAATCCAAGTCACTTTCTTTCTTTTCTCTCTTTCTCTTCTTGTGTTTTTTGCTCTTTGAGTCAACTCTGCAATTCAAAAAGTTTTCTTTCAGCAATGGGATCATGATGAAGATCTAACTCCAGCCTCTGTCCCAACCTTTGCCCTCTTTGCCACTGCACAAACTCACTTTTCACCGCTGGATTCAGTATATAATGCAACTTTAGAAGAACTATATATCCATAGGGATATAGGCATTTTTGACATTACATTGAATAAGTTCAAAAAAAGCAGAGAATTTCATAAAACTTAGGCCCTTTGCAGTACTTTTTTTCCTTTTTCCTCCTCCTTTTTGTAGATATTTTATTTTTCTCACTAAAGGGTTCTTTGTTAACATCCTCCGTATAAAGTTCTTTATAACCATTAAGCCCCTATCTGTGAGCAAATAATTGTAATTTTTTTCATACAATAATCTTAAATGCTCACTTAAATTGAGTTTTCCAACTAGATCAAATGAGTTATTCCCTCAGTAAGAAAACAAACTATATTCACATACTTATGTTTTTTCCTTTTCTTCCCATCAAAATTTTGAGCTTTTTTCTTATTATCTCCATTCTCAAACTCCTCTGGATAGAGTTCTTTGTAACCCTCATGACCCCATCTGGTAATAAAATATAACAGCTTAGTTACAGAATAAAACAAAATCATACACCTTTATGTTAATATTTCATCTTTTAGAAGTGATTTACACAAAAATGTGTTCTACATTTTCAATAATTCATCCATTTCATTACCAAAATGACTAGACAAATTTATCATCTGGAAGATTTTATCTTGATTTAACATCAACAAAACAAAATGTACGAAGCATCTACAAGAAAGAATTTAGACACAAGGAGTAAAACTATCTAATTTCTTTTTACAGTATCCCCCTGTATCAACAATAAGGTCACATGAATAAAGGAAATGATCACTGACTAAAGAAGCTCTTGATTATTAGACAAATTCTCCTTGTCAGCATCATAGGATATGTATGAAGAGTAGTATGAAGAATATGCTTGCTGATGTTTGCATGCAAAAGGTTAACAGAGGTACACATGTGTAAATGGCAGTAAGTTAATTTTAATATTGTCCTGATGAACTTCAGCCAAACAAACCTTTGAGAATCATTTGCTTCAAAATCAAAGAGTTGTTGTGTCCAATAACTACTTCTGGGTGGTAATGTAGTGTCGTCATCATCACATCTCATCTGCCCTTTGTACCTTGGGGCAGAAAAATGATAAAAACTCAAACTCTGGCTCCCCTAGGCATTCCATAAAAAAATAAAACAGCCTTAAAATGGTAACAGTAGAATAGTAGTAGTAACAGTGAAGGAAGTAAGGAAATGATGAACTGACTTAAAAAAAGGTAAGGACAAAGAGGATCCTTAAATACCAAACCTTCCATTTTCACTGGAGTTTCATAAAATAAAATAAAAATAAGAATTAAAGGTTACTCTCTATCCAGATTTAGGTTCATTCCATTATGTTTTTAATAGT